CCGAGTAGCTGGGACTACAGGCGCCCGCCACCGCGCCTGGCTATTTTTTGTATTTTTAGTAGAGACAGAGTTTCACCATGTTAGCCAGGATGGTCTCCATCTCCTGACCTCGTGATCCGCCCACCTCAGCCTCTCAAAGTGCTGGGATTACAGGCGTGAGCCACTGCACTCAGCTCAGACACTTTTAAAATTTTAAGGCAAGAAGTTGAAGCACACATAAGGAAAAACAATCTGTTTATTAAACTACAGAAATACATTATGTTTATCATTGTTAATGTATTGTGTGTAAGCAAAGTAGAGAAAGAAAATCAGAGACATTTTAAAATCGCTCTTTTAGGCCCCAAAGTTCTGAATTATTTTTCTGCAGCAGACTACAGACAGTGGGGTGACTGCTTTGTTTTCATGTATCCACTTCCAGTATATAAATTCAAGAAAACAAATCTCAGGGAATAGGTGAGCGTAGTAAAACTAAACCTCATAGTAATAGTAATAACTGCAATTCAAATTCCCAGTGGAAAGGCTCAAAGTTAAGTGGTTTGCTTGGAGTTTTTGTGAGTCATAAAATATATTGTTCCCTAGGGAGTGGTGAAAGAGAGTTTATCAATACTTATCAGAACCCAGAAGGATGCCATGCGTTGCATGTGGATACGTAGGAGACAGCTGCTACAGATTGAAAAGTGGATTATGGCTTTATAGCTCAGGCAGTCTTACTATGTAGCAACTAGTGTGTTGATCACTGCTTTTATTCTATTTTATTTTATTTATTTTTTCAGACAGAGTTTCACTTTGTTGCCCAGGCTGGACTGCAGTGGCACTGTCTCAGCTCACTGCAACCTCTGCCTCCGGGGTTCAAGCAATCCTCGTGCCTCAGCCTCCTGTGCAGCTGGGATTACAGGCGCCCACCACCATGCCCAGCTGATTTTGTTTATATTTTAGTAGAGACAAGATTTCACCATATTGCCCAGGCTGGTCTCGAACTCCTGAGCTCAAGCCATCTGCCCATCTTGGCCTCCCAAAGTGCTAGGATTACAGGTGTGAGCCACCGCTCCTGGCCCACTGCTTTAATTTTAAACGAATGTGTAAACAAAGGATTCCTGGACATCCCCCAGTTTATCTCATGCTAGAAAAGACAGCATGAAACACCAAGTTAGAATGTTATTAACTCTGAAAAATTCTCTTTAGGTCCCATGTGTAAAATATATCTTAAAAAACAAATTGACCAGTCGTGGTGGTTTACATCTGTAATCTCAGCACTTTGGGAGGCGAAGCCAGGAAGATCGCTTGAGGCCAGCCTGGGAAACCCAGCAAGACCCTGTCTCTACAGAAAAATTTAAAAAGTAGCTGGGCATGGTGGCATGCAGCTGTGGTCCTAGCTGCTTAGGAAGCTGAGGCAGCAGGATCACTTAAGTCCAGGAGGCTGAGGCTGCAGTGAGTCATCATTATGTCACCGTACTCCAGCCTGGCTGACAGAGCGAGACTCTGTCTCAAAAAAGAAGGAATCTAAAATCATGAACTTCACTATGCTTACCTGTTAAAAGGTCAAGATGAGACTTCATTTAATTCCAGGGAGATATAAACAGAATTAATCTCAGTGATAAGTCTTGTGAAGTTCTGGTGTGATCAGATTAGACATTTAAAGCTTTTAGGGAGAGAAAAGTGTAGTCAGTCTGAATCTCACTCATAATTGTGAAAATAAAATCCAAACTCAGTTTTTAAATCCATATAATTTCTATGCATTCTTCAAAGGCTCGTTGTGAGATTATTACTTTTATTAACAATTCAGTGTTTTTTAGTAAATGAATCAAGTTTGCTATCATACAAAGTTATTTACTGTAGAACTTTATTATTCCCAGGCTATTTGGGACAGAAATTGTATATTAAAAGCTTGTTAGTGGTGAAAACACATGCCATTTGTCTAGGAATAGGTATTCCTCAGGTTTTCGATTATAAAAGTAGTACATAATAATTAGGAGCACATACACTTGAGCCAGACAACCTGGCTTCAGAACTATTTAGCCACTAACTAGATGTGTCACCTTGGATGTCCTAAGTGCCCACCTCTTGTTGTGAAGCTTACGTGAGGTAATACTTGCAAAGTTCTTAGTACCTGGCCCTTAGTATGTGATATATAATCCTTTGCTCTTATTATTTGCACTTCTCTTAAAAGGAAGAAAAATCACCTAAGGTCACACTAACCAAAGATGACATGTCTAATGAGAGCTAGGACAAGCTGAGCAAGATTTATCTCTCAGCATTATCCTTGACGATACTGCCACTGAAAATTCCAACTATGTTTTATAAAATGAATTTTCAGAGGTCTTGTCTTAAACATGCTTGAAGTGTAATGATTACCTATAGATATCATCTAGGAGTATTGCTAAAAACAATTGATATATGTTATTCGTAATGCATCTCCCTTATATTTACTTACCACATATTTTCAGATATAAATAATACATGGCCAATACTTTAAATTAGCTTACAATTAGCAAGAGTTTAAGACATGTACTTCAAAAAAGAAGAAAAAGGAACAGAGGAGGGAATAAAAGAGCAATAAGTAAAGTGAGTTGATGATGAAACTACCTACCTCCAAGTTCCAGCTGCATTCGGGTGTTTAAAACTGTAAAGTGTGTTAACTTAAACCACACAATTGTACTGCATCAGACACCGTCATTGATGATGACATGCCTGAACTGACTGTCTAAGACCAATATGTGACCAAGAATCCATTCCTTGGTAATATATGCATCTTTTCTTTGCAGTTTTAAAGAGAAAATGGGGACCTCATTACTAATATTTATCAAGGTTGATGTTGATAGGACAGCCATATAAAACTACTTGGAAAGTTGTGTGTAACCTCAAAGTAAAAAGGAATTGGCTTCTACTCTATGTCTGTCTTTATTTTAATGTTTTACTTTAAAACTTTTAGTAACTTGAACAAGATATGCCCCCAAAGAAGTTATTACATTTCTGCCAGCCTTTAACATTATCCTACAATTAATATTTAAAACAAAGCTAAATTAAATTCTTTCATCAAGAAGATTCAGAAATAGGGTTGAATTATTTGTATCATGATGATCATGGTTGGGTGGGGGACCGATATGATAGTGATGGTGATACTAATATCTAACATTCATTTTCGCTATGCTGGGTATCTTTCAGTCATTTTACATAATCCTCAAATTAACCATGGAAGGCAGAAATATTTATTAGCATTTACTGAAGAGAAAACTGAAATATATTAGTAATAAAGTAACTTATCTAAATCAAACACTTCATAAATGCAGGACCAGGATTCAAATCCAGGATTATCTGACTACAGAGTCTATATGCTTAACCATTAGCTGATGTTACTACTTGGCATACCCTCTTAGGAGAGAGTCATATTTAAAACCACTAATGGATGGTGTGCAACTTTACTTAGAAAATAATTTTCTGGTCTATTTTTTTCTCTGCCAATTGTATAGATGTTAAGTGTTAGGATAATTAAAAGTGTAAAAGGCAAAAATATTGATTGACATATCTAACATTTAATTTTATAAAGTTGTTATCTGAGACAGGCTATCAAAGATTCCTGCACACGTGGACTCTTCTAACCACTTAAACAGAAAGAATGTCAAATGTTTTCACATTTCTGCAGAACGATTTCTCTTGTTCTCAAATCAAAAAAACATTTTGTTATCTGTCAGCATACAGTGGAATATGATTAGACTCCAGTGGTGAAAGCCATGCAGAAATATGTTAATGCATTTTTCTATCATTCCCTAGACTCTGCCATTTTACAAATTTAAATATCAGTGCCCAGAAGTTTAATCAATCATCTTGCATACAGAGTATTAAGTATTCACATTTAGTAATAATCTATCACATGCTCCCATGTTTCCATGTTGGAGCCTTTTTCAGTCTCTCCAGTATCCCAGCATGTTAGATCTTTAATCATCACCATTAATTTTTTGATCCCAACTTCCGTTATGCCATATTTTTCCTATATAGCGAAAGGTAAGAATGTTCTTAACACCACACTGTGTATTGGTCCTATTTCTTCTTTGGTCTTGTTTCATTGGTCTGGTTTGTTTTTTTGCCTGCTGTCACACCAGCGTTAGATATGCAACTACACTTTAAAAACCATGTAACACATATTTACTAATTGCACTCAACTTCATCTTATTTGTTAATTCTCATTTTCCATTTAACTTTCTTCATCTTTTTGTCTTTATTCACTTCATCAATTTCTATAAGCCCTTGAAAGGTTTTTAGAAGGTGACAGTAATAATTGTTAGACCTGGCCCTTGAAAATTATAGAAAAGAATCTAGAGAGCCATTGTCATTGCAGTATTTCCTAGATATCACTATGTTAAGCATTTTATTTAATCTGTTATTCCCGTGTCTCCCCTGAGCATAAATATCTTCACAGAAATATCAGTTGATGAAAATGCACAGAAAGTAAGAGGATATTATTAACCAATTTCAAAAAGTACTGAGATCCCACCAAGTTGGTTCTCCTTGCATTTGCGTGTATGTTTGATTCTGATAAGTCATAATATACAGTTTTTTTAAGAGCAGAAGCCAGCAGTTGCCTAAGGTCAGTGTGTTAGAGTGTTTTTAACACCGGCCTAGGTTCCTTGTCTTTTCAGTACAATTTGAAGTAATAGTATCTTGGTAAATGGAACTTTTATGGCAGTTAAAAGCAAATGTATAAATTATCCTTTGGAATTGCTACATATTGAGAGAATGTGGCTGGATGATGATGAAATGCAGTTATTTCTACTTCTCATCATAAAAGAACAAACTTACTTTGTATTCAGTTCCTGAGAAGCTGAAATCAATCACATCTCCTTGAAAATACCTATTTTTGAAAAAAATTCAACTACTGGTCTCCATCTTCAGTAGTGTTAGATTGCCGTCTCTTTTCCCAAGGAGTGCTTATTAAAGTTTGTATTTTAACTGCCTTGCTGTAAAAGAAAAGGGAAAAATCAGCCAATTTTTTGTTTCCGTTGTAGTGTGGAGACAATCAATGATGGAAACTTCCACATCGTGGAACTACTCGCCCTGGATCAGAGTCTCTCTTTGTCCGTGGATGGTGGGAGCCCCAAAATCATCACCAACTTGTCAAAGCAGTCCACTCTGAATTTTGACTCTCCACTCTACGTAGGAGGTAAGCTGTTTTCCAAGTTCAGTTGGTCCTCAAACCCTGTGATTCTCATCTCGGATGAATTCTGAAGTTTATTAATGCCTAGTGCATCCGTATTTGTCATTGACCAATAGTGATCAATCCTTGAAAGATGGATGGCAAAGACAGAACAGAAAGATCTCTAGGTGGGTATTCAGGGATCATTTTATAATCCCATCTCTGGTTCTAAGTAAACGTGTCATCTGGATAGAGAAGGACATTAATTAATATTTCTTTTGTATCAGTCACATGCTGGGTGATTTATACATTATATAATTTAATCTTATATTTGATCTGGTCTATGGAAAAGGCAAGTTGGTTACAGGTTAAATCATACAATCAAGAAAATGATAAAACAAGCTCAATGCAAACTGGGGAGTAGATAAGCCCACCCCAGCTCCCTTAAGGAGGCAGACCTTATCAGCTCAGTCAAATGTTGCCGTGCTGGAGCTTCTAGTTGCTAATTCGTGTGGATGATAGGATAAGTATCACTGTAATCCAGTGACTGAATGAATGAATGAACAAATTAAATGTACAAATTGTATTGGAATAACAAGAAATAGTTCTGTTCCACCAAGACCTTAAGGTGAATGAACAAGAGAGAGGGTTGGAAAGGTAGGTTAGGACTTGAAATCATAGAGTGAAGACCCTGGGCTTTATTTTTAAGTGTAAAGAAGGCAGATCAGTGAATAAATGAGGGACAGAAATATAAGCAAAGTTCTGTAGGAGCCCATCGGAGAGGACCTGCAGAGGAGGGAGGTCCCAATCTTGCCTCTATTTGGAGGAACAAAAATAAACTGGAGGCATAGAAGTTCAAAATTCTGGTAAAGGAGCAAGAAAGCAGTTAATGCTGAATTGAGAAGCATTGGATTAAATTACGTTGAATTTATTTGAATTGACTGATAAAACTAACTTACAGATGAATAAGTAAAACTTTGAACAGGTTAGTGTACAATTTTATCACCATGACAGATATTTTCATGAGTTTCACATCATTTTCTGAAAAATAATAACCTATGCTACACCATGATCTCAACCACTCAGAGCCTTCTTTTTAGTGCCTCTAAGTCTAGGGCATTTCTGTTTTAATAATTTCAGTAGTAGACAATCTTAACACTTTGACAGAGTTGGATTGTTTTAGAAACAGTTCCAAGTCTTTGGTTCAATTCTGTAAATATTTATTGAGTACTTAACCACATACTAGGAACTAAGTAAATGGATACATAAAGGATACAAAGTTGAAGAAGCAAAGTCCATTCTACTCCCTAAAAAGTCAGGAATGCAGAAGCATCATCAAGTAACTACCACGCATTATCAATAAAGTATTGCATAGTGAGTCTACTCAGCGAGTTGACTGGTCTAATTGCTTCACAGCGGAGACTCTCATTACAAAGCAAGTCATCCATTCTTGCCAGCATTCCAGTTAACAGGGTTGCTTTTAGGTGGGTGAAGCCAAGTCACAAGTGTACCTTTGATTTGAGACAAAATAAATTATATTTATTGAGTCCATGCTATGTGCCCAGCACAGTGCTTGTTTTATAGCCTTAATCTGCAGAGACCTTAGGAAGTAGATATGATTTTCTCTGTTTTGTATTCCCTGAAGAGCAATCTCAAGGATTTTATATAACTTGGCCAAGTTCACAAAGCTATTATGTAGTAGACACCTCATTTAAGTCCAGGTCCGCCTGACTCCAGAGCCACCTGCATTGCCATTCACTTCTTAACATAAAGCAGAAAGGGAGCATATCTAAGTGTTGTGGCCTTTTGTTGTTTATTTATGGACTTTTCATTCACTTGATTTTATTATGCTTTCATTAGAATCCACTTCATTAAACCTTTCAAAGCCCCTTTAGAATGGAGTACAAAACAAATTTTAAAAATAAAGAGGGCTGGACATGGTGGCTCACACCCATAATCTCAGCACTTTGGGAGGCTGAGGAGGGAGGATCACGTGAGCCCGGGAGGCTGAGACTGCAGTGAGCCATGACTGCACCATTGCAGTACAGCCTGGGAAACAGAGTCAGACACTATCTCAAGATAAAAAAGAAAATACAGGATGAGACTGTTTAAGTCAGAACATTCCTCCTTCCCCAGTCCCCAGCCCAGAAAAAAAAAAAAAAAGAAGAAAAAAAGTTTTAAATTCCAGAATGAAAAGTATTTATCCTTCTGAAGGTCGAGGGTCTGGAAGAATTCAAACAGCACCTCTGTGCACCCAGGCCTCAAGGAAACCACTTTCATCCCAGTTTCACTGCCAGAGATCACCATGGGCCCACTTTCTCCCCGCTTAGAGTGCGGTCTCAAGGGTGACTCAGATTTTCAAAGCACAAGGAACCTGTAACACCACAGCCTTGAATGCTGTATGGCAAAGGCATGAGAAACAGAGGGAGAAAAGGAGAGCAAGGTAACTAGGTTCCCTTTCAAAGTGGTGACTACAGCCGGGCGTGGTGGCTCACACCCGTAATCCCAGCACTTTGGGGCCGAGGCAGGCGGATCACGAGGTCAGGAGATCGAGACCATCCTGGTTAACACGGCGAAACCTCGTCTCTACTAAAAATACAAAAAATTAGCCAGGCGTGGTGGCAGGCACCTGTAGTCCCAGCTACTTGGGAGGCTGAGGCAGGAGAATGACATGAACCTGGTAGGTGGAGCTTGCAGTAAGCTGAGATCGTGCCACCGCACTCCAGCCTGGGCTACAATGGGAGACTCCATCTCAAAAAATATACATATATATACATATATACACACACACGTATATATACACATATATACACACATATATATACACATATATACACACACATATATATACACATATATATACATATATATATATATATATAGTGACTACAATGAGATACCGTCTCACACCAGTGAGAATGGCTATTATTAAAAAGTCAAAAAATAACAACTGCTGGCAAGGTTGTGGAGAAAAAGGAACACTTATACCACTGTTGGTGGAAATGTAAATTAATTCAGCCATTGTGGAAAACAGTGTGGCGATTCCTCAAAGGCCTAAAAATAGAGCTACCATTCAACCCAGCAATCCCACGACTGAGCATATAGCCAAAGGAATCTCGATCATTCTATCATAAAGACACAGGCATGCATATATTCATTGCAGCACTGTTCACAATGGTAAAGACATAGAATCAACCTAAATGCCCATCAGTTCTAGACTGGATAAAGAAAATGTGGTATATATACACCATGAAATACCATGCAGCCACAAAAAAGAATTGAGCTGATGCCCTTGGCAGGAACATGGATGGAGCTGGAGGCCATTATCGATAACAGACTAACACAGGAACAGAAAACACATACCGCATGTTCTCACCTGTAAGTGGGAGCCAAATGACGAGAACACATGGACACAGAGAGGGGAGCAACACACACTGGGGCCTATCAGAGGGCGGAGGGTGGGAGGAGGGAGAGGATCAGGAAAAATCACTAATGGACATTAAGCTTAATTCCTGGGTGCTGAAATAGTCTGTACAACAAAGCCCTCGTGACATGGGTTTACCCAGTTTGTTATACGGTAACACATATACACTGTTGGTGGGAGTGTAACCCTCATATACTCCTGAACTTAAGATAAAAATAAAAAAAAAAAAAAAAAACCGGGGTGCTACCCAAGAAAGACTGCCTGAAGGTGTTGCCTCAGCATCTGGGGAGAGGCAGCCCCTTGGTGAGTATATGGAGAGGCAGCTTCATCTACCCTTGGGTTATCAACTACCCAGGATATGTGCTTTACTTGACACAATTTTTTTTTTTTCTGAGGTGGAGTTTCGCTCTTGTTGCCCAGTCTAGAGTGCAATGGCTCAATTTTGGCTCACTGCAACCTCCACCTCCTGAGTTCAAGTGATTCTCCTGCCTCAGCCTCCCAAGTAGCTGGGATTATAGGCGCCTGCCACCACACCTAGCTAATTTTTTAAATATTTTTAGTAGAGACAGGGTTTCATCATGTTGGACAGGCTGGTCTCAAACTCCTGACATCATGTGATCCACCCACGTCAGCCTCCCAAAGTGCTGGGATTACATGAATGAGCCACTGCACTTGGCCGACACAAAATAATTTAATTTTCATGTTTTTTTTTTTTTTTTTTTTTGTCTATAGTCCAACTGAACCCTTATTACCTAATGGGGAAAAAAAATCAAGAAATAAGCCCCATGCATGGAAATCCATGTATATGCGACATATGCCCTCCTTGTGCTGCCACAGGACAGAGGACCTAGGCTTGATACTTGGTCTCTTTATTGACATTTTGAGGCCTGTAGAAATAAGGCTACAAGCTGTTTGCTGAGTTATCTGTTGGTTGATTGACTGATTGAATGACTTCCAACTAGGTCCATGGCATAGAGGAAAGGCTTAAAAAAATTCATGGATCTGGCTGGGCGTGGTGGTTCATGCCTGTAATCCCACCACTTTGGGAGGCCGAGGGGGGTGGATCACCTGAGGTCGGGAGTTTGAGACCAGCCTGACCAATATGGAGAAACCCCATCTCTACTAAAATTATAAAATTAGCTGGGCATGGTGGCGCATGCCTGTAATCCCAGCTTCTCGGGAGACTGAGGCAGGAGAATCACTTGAACCCGGGAGGCGAGGGTTGTGGTGAGCCGAGATCGTGTCATTGCACTCCAGCCTGGGCAACAAGAGTGAAACTCCATCTCAAAAAAAAAAAAAAAAAATTCACGGATCTACTTCTGTTTGTCAATGAAGACCTAGTTTCCTAGCTAGCATGTGAAAAGATTGACTCAGAATAATTCTTGATTTTATGATAGCCTATTGAAAGTCAAATATATGTATGATGTCTAAACATTTTCATTTACAGATTACTTTAGCCAAAGCTGGGCTTTTTCTAATTGTTAACTTTGGAACAAAAAGGAACAGATTTACTAATTGTTTCTCTGTGCTGTGGAACTTTGCCAATCTGTATTTATTCTTGACGTGCACATATGCGTGTTGGGCCTATATCAAAATGAGCTATTAAAAATAGTTTTGGAAGCAGTTCATTTTTAACCACTGAATAAAGGACCATAAATGTGTGGTCATTAAAGTCCTTATGATGGATGGATGTGGTTAAATTAGAAAAACTGACCCCAGGGCAAGGAATTTTCTGTCACCAGTCCTCTCCTGGAAATGGTAAGTCTCATCCTTTTGGCCCTGCTCTAGAAAGCAACCCACAGCAAGAGGGACATGACTAGACACCTGTACTCACAGAACTTCACAGCCAAGAGACTTCATTCAGTACCTGTCAGAGTGTAACCATGGACTACCTGAATCACCTGAGCTGCATGTAGATATTTAGATTTCTGCACCTCTCCTGTTCCAACAGCGTCAGAACCTCAGAAGGGGGAGAGAGTGGAGCCTGCAAAACTGCCTTTGAGCATGCACTGCTGTTGGTTCTTACGTATGACAAACTTAGGACAGCTTCTCTGGTCGATATGCTCATGGTATATAGATGACAATGCTAAGCCCCAGAGAGAAGAAACAACTGCTACAAGTGCACACAGAACCAGAAATCCTTACCCTCTACCCTAGTGGTTTCATACAGCTAGCTCTTTGACTTTGGTGGCTGCTTTGAATGCCAATGGATGAGTCATTTCCTATGAATGGGAAAGGAGAAGGTGGCATAAGTTCGGACTCACAGTGTGCTACAGTTCTTGGTCTTTATAACCAACAAACCCCCTAAAGAGTGAGAAACTGGGTCTTCCTCAGCCTAGAACTTCCAGCCACTAGTCCAGAGTTTAGGCACAGCTAAAGCATAACTGGGGGGTTGTGGGGAGGTGGTAGTGGTGTCGCCAGCACTCTGAAAGCCTCCAGCACCCTCCCCACTTCCCTGGATGGGTGCCTCCTGCAGGATGCCTTCCAGGGACTAAGGGTCTGGCTTAGGCCATGGAAAGATTCTTCTGTTTTGCCAAAATGAGTGTTACCAGATGACTGTCGCTAGTGGAATGTATATATACAAAGATTGCAAATACTCTGTTTTTGAAGGGATTTCTTTTTTATTTCTGATTTCTTGGACTATGAAGTCTTCACTCTCAATTAGCAAGAAAGAAAAAATGATGTGAATGAGGTGCTGTCCTGAAAAGAATCAGGAGTGAGTTTATGGCATTGACATCGTTGACCAACCTCAGGGGCGCTGCCAGGAGCGAGCTGGATTCGTTGCCAACTTAGAATGTGGCAGGGCTGGGGTGAATGGTCACTGTGAACCCCAGTTCTCAGCCCCTGAGACCTGGTGGACCTACCCCTGATTCCAGAGATAGAGGAGGTTCTTCTCATCAGCCTAACTCTAACCTGAACTCGCTGGGTCACCTTGAGCATGTTGCCAGGGCTTTCTGAGCCCTAGCCCCTTGTCTTTAAGATAAGGAGTAGAATTAGAGCACTACAAACTGAGCTTTATGGAGCTCCAGACTTCCAGGAGTGTGTGCCTGGAGGTGGGGGGTGGAGGACAAACGGAGAGGGAGCATTCCCTTCCCCAGTCTTGCCTTTAAGGACAGTAGCTCTGCCTCTAGGTTTTATACATTTGTGTACGTATAAAGTTTTCTTTGAAGCAAATTTTAAAAGTTAAAGATTAACCACCAGTGAACTAGGTATTTTATTCTAGTTGTGGATTAGAATTCCCTGGAGCGTCTTCCAATACAGAACAAAACAAAAACACACATCTCTTCTCCACTTCACTTCCCTACCACCCTGTCCAAATATCCTGCCGTAATAGGTTGGCAGTGAGGTCCTAAGCATCAGTATTTCTGGGTAGCAAATGGCTGAGAAATCCCCAGAGAGCCTGACCTCTGACCCGGTGTTCCTCCCCAGGCATGCCAGGGAAGAGCAACGTGGCATCTCTGCGCCAGGCCCCTGGGCAGAACGGAACCAGCTTCCACGGCTGCATCCGGAACCTTTACATCAACAGCGAGCTGCAGGACTTCCAGAAGGTGCCGATGCAAACAGGCATTTTGCCTGGCTGTGAGCCATGCCACAAGAAGGTGTGTGCCCATGGCACATGCCAGCCCAGCAGCCAGGCAGGCTTCACCTGCGAGTGCCAGGAAGGATGGATGGGGCCCCTCTGTGACCAACGGACCAATGACCCTTGCCTTGGAAATAAGTAAGTTCCTGCTGCTTGGTAGTTGAGCACACACCTGAAAGCCTCAAAGTCAAACCCAAGGAAGGAAGGAAGGAAAGAAGGAGGGGAGGGGAGAGGAGGGGAGGGGAGGGAAGGTTCATTAGGCATTAGCACTCTGTCCCTCGTATTTTCTCAATCATCCTCCATTCTTACATCACCTCCGTTCATTCTTACCTCCTCTGCTGAATGCATTCCCACTCCTGTGTTCCTCCTCCCTGTAGATGCGTACATGGCACCTGCTTGCCCATCAATGCATTCTCCTACAGCTGTAAGTGCTTGGAGGGCCATGGAGGCGTCCTCTGTGACGAAGAGGAGGATCTGTTTAACCCGTGCCAGGCGATCAAGTGCAAGCATGGGAAGTGCAGGCTTTCAGGCCTGGGGCAGCCCTACTGTGAATGCAGCAGCGGATACACGGGGGACAGCTGCGATCGAGGTAAGCCAGCCCCACCGGCTACCTCGCTCATGGCAAAGCAAGAGGGGTACCACGTCTTTGAAAAGAGAGAGAGAAAAGGTGGGAAAAAAAAAAAAAAAAAACAGGAGCAACAGAATGATAGGAGTGATAGGAGAGATAGGAGTGATAGGAGAGATAGGAGTGATAGGAGAGATAGGAGTGATAGGAGAGATAGGAGTGA